AAAATTGGAGCAGCGCTGGATTTTTGGGGCCAAGAAAAAATTTTAGGGAGTAAAAAAAATCTTCAAGGTTAGAAAATGTATTTAAATAACAGCAAATAACTTATTACTAATAACTAATTAATTGCTAAATAACTCATTTAAATTAGATGATTATTTACCATTATTGTCCTGTATTATTTGGCTTTAGAACTTTTTTTTTTTTTACATCGCAGTAATAGAAATAATTGATAATAAAACAGTCAATTTGAAATAAACTAATTAAAGAATATGCTGCTGATCCACTGCTATTGATGTGTGTTGTGTTGTCAGCACAATGTTACTGTACGTCATTTTCATGCAGTGACCTTTTAAATAAAAGCAAATGACATCTCTAAGCACACAATTATATTTGTTCATGTTTAATACATTATATATATATATATATATGTCTGCTGCAGTTGCAAACTTCAAAACTGCTTCAGAGGATGGCTGCTCTGCTCTGATGGCTGGTAAAGCAGACTGACAGTAGTCATAAATAGTGTTCAACTCATACAGCCCTTAAAATAATAGTGTTCCTCTGGTGAAAAAGGGAAGTCAGATTCTTCAGAATACTATCCACACTTACAACCGGTCAATGATTAACCTACAATGGTTAATGTTGCCTCAGCCAAGTGTTGCTTGGATACCACGGATGTTTTGGGATGTATGACTTATTCACCCCCCACCCCAAAAAAAAAAAAAAAGTTTAATTTCCTTCAGTTTTCTGAAGAAATCCAATAACTGCAGCTGAGAAACTGAAAAAAAAGCAGCCTGCCCAGTCACTTTTTAACCCTTTATGGGGCAAGTGACCATATTTGGTAACTTCCTTAAACGTTCAATATGTCAAACCTGTGTCTCTCCTCGAGGTTGAATTTTTTATTTTTCTTTAAAATCATAGACGGTCAAACTACCATATGTGGCAACTTCATTCATCTTGATTTGCAACATTTCTTTTTTTTTTTTGAAGTCACAAAAGTAAGAATATCTTCAAATATCCTTTGATAACAACCAAAGGCTGAAATTTTCACTTTCCAAGTACTTCAAGGAGTGCCCTATAAGGGGTTAACCATCCACAATGTGGTCATTTATCAGTGTTTTTGTTGAGGTGCATGTCAATGACACGTTGTTCTTGCTCCACTTAGTGTGCTGCCGCAGGTCTGAAGTCCAACCATGCTGTGACCCTGCAGTCACAATATGTCACCAAAAATCCTGTAAGGGATAGGGGGACTTAAAGCAACACCCGAAAGATAATCCAGAAACACCAAATATATTACAGCAACATGTGAGTAACTCTGAAACTGCGATCTTGGAGGTTTCATCACTCCACTAAACCTAATTATGTCGTGGTGACATGAGCAGCAAACAGCACGTCTGACTCATGTGACCTGGACATAGTCACATCTTTTACCATAAAATGTCCACATTACCTCCAATAACTCAACAAAACAAGCGTTGTCTCTCAGAGTTGCCATGGACTGACTCATGTATACCTCCGCAGCCTATCCCAGACTGTTTGTCCATGTTATCAGATTGTCAGCACACCTCCCACACCCTCCCATCACTCCCTCAGTTTCTATTCCCTTTGCAAATGCATTTACCTCTTTGGGTCAGTTTCAAGTGGAACCTCTCCCCGAGAACAGGAAGTTTCATCCGAGATTAAAACCCTTTGAAGACGAGGTTTTACAGCAGTCGATTAGCTCTTCTCCCTCTGACAACATGTGTACCGGAAGGTGTTCCCGTTTCATTGCGGTTAGTCTGTACCCTTTAGCGATCATATCCATCATCTGTAACATCGTGCTGTTCTTTCCTGGTGGGGACATCAAATATGCCAAAGATGGACATATAACTGAGGAGGTGAAGTACATGGGAGGCCTGGTCGGAGGGGGTGTTCTGGTGAGTTATCTTCTCTCTACTCTGGACGAGGAGCAGCTGGAAATTCCTTTCTCAGATATTACGCAGTGCTTCCTCCTAAAAATATTGTTTCTTCACTCTATTTTAGTTGTCTGAGTGCTACTTTTGTGCTTTAGGGTCTACTTTGTGCTGCATGATACTCTCCTGAGACACACCCAAATGTGACTGCTGAAAAACTTTTCTAGCAGATTCTAAATGAAGACAGCCCTCTGCAGTGTGTCCCAATGGTTTTATAGCTTAATATACAGCACACTTTTTAATGCAGACCCACTACAGTTAAACATGTTATCCTACTGGGATAGGTTTTCAGCAAACGTTGGTTGGTGTTTGCGGGACTATCCAAGCCAAAGCTGCCTCAATGAACGCTTTTTTTAATCATATTTATTTCTGAGTTTGTAGCGCTGTGTTTCCTCAGTGCATCAAGATATTCATTATCTGTTTATGAACCACCTGCCCGCTATAACACCCAATTTGGGATTAATCAGAAAGCAAATCCAGAGGTATCATCAGTTAAGTTTGCATTATTTATGTAATGTGCCACAACGTCTGTCAATTGAACCACTTTTGATATAAAATGTTTTTGCACAAGAATCACACAGGGGACACTTTAGAGAATATGAAAACCATCATTGCACCCTTAAGCACCCTTGCGTTGAGGACTAAATGATGATGCTAAATTGAACTGCTGTCAAACTCATGTGTCCTGCTGCAGGTGTTGCTACCAGCGCTTTACATTCACTTGACTGGGCAACAGGGATGCTGTGGAAATCGCTGTGGGGTGAGTCATGAATACAATAAGGTGTTTCAGGTGCTCCGTTATGGGCGAGGGGAGGCTTCAGTTTAAATGATTAACCATATAAACTACATGCTACCTATGCCAGTGGCCAAGAAAGTAAATGTGTAATCTGTAAACTATCAGGAAACAGTTAAAGATAGAGCAAGTCAGCAGAAATTAAAAATAGGAAATTGAAAATGCATGCAACAGAATGTCACAGAAACAGGATCAGAGTTAACTCATTCAATTAAGACTTTAAAAATAGCGTTTGTAGATGTACCTTCAGTGCAAATTTATGATAAATAAGAAGCATGTTGCACAAAATCATTGCACAACTAGACAGATTACCTGCGACACTTTTTTTTTCATTTTTAATGCAAATAGAAAATTTAAAAGTTCAAGACACGTGCAAAAACCTCATTTAAAAGTGTTTGAACCCTCAGTGCTACTTGTGTATATCGTTTCAATAACATCAAGATTAGAGGTGCATTCCTGATAATGAGTTTTGCTCCAGGCAGTTGTGATAACACTACTGCTTCACAAGTCTCCAAGCAGCCCCAACAAACTTGTTTCAGCGTGTTTGGTTTGGCCTGCAGTTTACCTAGAATGAAATGCCAGTGGTCAGCAGAGAGCCTGCTCCTCCTTAAACACTGACATGCTCTATTTATGAATTGAATGGGATTTTAAAAATGCATAAGCTGCATCAGAACTGTTCCTGACCTTTGATTATCCTCCAACCACTTCAGATGTTCTTATCAATTGCGTTCGCTGCGGTGGGTGTGGCTGGTGCCCTGTACAGCTTCATTGTGGCAGTGCTCGGTTTGCAGAACGGGCCCCTCTGCAAAGGTATCGTGGTCTGGTCAACGCCTTTTAAAGGCAGGTGAGTCACTTTCTGAAGACACGTGTTTGAATTTCTAAAGTCCTGCTCATTCATGAAGCTCCTCTTTCTGCGCAGTGACAACAACTACCTGACTGACAGCAGGTTGTGGGGAATATGCAGATCGCCTGAGAACATTGTGCAGTTTAACATTGCCTTGTTTAGCACTCTGTTGGCCACCAGCTGCCTGCAGCTGATCCTCTGTGCAGTTCAGATGATCAACGGGCTCTTCGGCTGCCTGTGTGGAACCTGCCTCAGCAAAGGGGTGAGATGAAGCTGAGCTCATGTCTGAAACAACATCACAGTCGGTTTTGCTCACTTGTAGGATATCTGAACCCACACGCTTCTCAGATATTCACAGAAAATCCTGACATCAACTCCACTCTTTGTACTTACAGGTTCTGTGAGCTGCTGACAGTCGACTGGTGCTCCCTGCTGGAAGACCGACGACAGTGTGCCTGACTGCACTTGCATAAAATATTCTTTTGGAAATTTTTGTTGTCTCTGCTTCACGACAGATTGTTATATATATATTTTTTGTGTGTGTATTTCATGCTTTATACTTTGTTATATTAACCTTCACAGGAATCTTGAATGCAATGCAGTGTATTGTGTTGTGAAAATGCACAGTATTAGTAATCGTTTGATCAGTTTTAAATAAATTGGTGTAAAAACAACCTCTGTGCTTAATTGTGTTACTCTTTTGAAAAGAAAAATACAAGACAACATTGTTCTTCACCGACACCTTTAATGAAGGTCGTATTAGTACAATGAATATCAGGATTGATATCTATATAAATACTTAATGCTAATCTCAAACTCAACACTTTTAAAATACCTACATTTCTGAATAAATGAATGATGAAGTACTGGAGTGTCTCCATGGAGTGTAAATGGCACATGATGAGGCAACTGATGTTTTTTTCATTGACATAGAAATAAAAGTTTACACAACTAAAGTGGTAGGTATTTTAAAAAAAACAAGGCAAATGCTGGGTCCCAAAGGAGTCACAACAGGAGTGGAAGATAAGGTGTCAACTCAAAAACAATGAGCATGAGGACAAATCAGGCGTAAAGCAGGCTGGCTTTGACGTTTGTTTTGAAGCCTGTCAGACTAGTGTCTGAAAAGTCAGCAAATGTTTGAGCATATTTGTCTTTTTATTGACAGAACTGCGTGTTTTGTTACCAAAAAAAACAAAACTGAGGTGTGATCTTAAACCCACCAGTGAGTGATTCCATATTGTAGAAGGCTATCGTTACAACACGTTTTAGGTAACTTCAATGAGCTCGTATACGCCACTTGACTTTTTTGCATTAAATCTTTACGCGCTGAGCAGTTTGTGCATTAAAGAGAACCTTGCGACACAACAGAGTGTTTCTGTTGTTCATGTAACTCGTCACCTGGCAGATATAGAAATGTTTGTATGACTTTGTTGAGGTAGACATAAAACAATAAACTGGAGTGTTCGTCATAAAGAGGTTGCTCGGTACCGTTTCTCATACGCTGCATGTTGGCGACAGCTTTTTCGGAGTGTTAAAGTCAGATCTAAAAAAAACCATATGAATAGTAGGATTTAGATACAAACACTATGCCAAAGGTAATGTTGTTACAGCTTAAAAAGTCATGGAGTGTGGCAGTTTCAGTTGGATAAAACCAAAAGCAGGAAATGGTGAAAAACCAGATCCCACACGTGAGGTTATATGGCTGTAATACTTTCAGTTCACTGCTTCGTCTACGTTTGTGCTACGCTTGTGGACCTGTTTAGCCGTCAAACTGCTTCATCATGAGCTTGCGGCTGACTTCGTAACCCAGGAACAGCGCTCCGTTGGCGGGGAAGGTGCGCACCATGGTGGGGGTGAGCCCGGAGTAGAGCGCCCTCACACCTACACAGGAGAGAACAGCACCATTAGATTTAATAACTTCTCTTCTTTGTCAACCAAGAATGTTTTTTACTAGAACATCTGAATGCAGAATACAAGCAGCGTGTGGTTTGAGCTGGACAAGTTGATACTTCGGATCACAACAATTCTGTTTTAGAAATCAATTCATACATTAGACAAAAAAAAAATAATCCTCTGATTCAAAGTAATCATGTATTTTATCACAGTAGAGAGTGGCTACCAGCAGGCTCTAGAGTAATTGGACCTGACTAATAGGGAATACTTCTTCCCCTCTTTTCATAATCATATGCGAGCTACTGAAGCGGAGAAGAAAGGTGCTGCTACGACGAGACAGACTTCTATCACCGAGTCCTTTGGCAACAGAAGTAAACATCCACGTACAGAACGACGGCGTAGCTATGGCAACAATCATCACCAACTGTAGGTAGTGCTTCATGTCCGTATAGGCTGTGGCTTGTGTGTCAATGTTTAAACAATTCTTCAAACTATAAGATACCGTTTTAATAAAATTGATTGAAATAAATATGATATTGAACAAAAATAAATACGAAGTAAGCAATGAACTAAATAAACGCCTCAATAAATATCTGTATAAAACTTTTAACTTCCGCTTGAGATTTAAATCCCTGAACTGACCTCACATCAATTCAATTTAAAAAAAAGAGTGTATTCACTGTGTCATACAGTATATTCTGCGTATTTATCCTTGAACTGCACCTTCTACATGAGTAAGACTTAATAATGTGTTATTCTCTGCTTTATTGTCGTTCCCTTAGAAATGTGGACGTCCTAATTATTCACCTGCAAGGCAGAATAATGTAACAGCCCAGATTACATCACAGAGGAACAGAGACGCTATTGTAATGAGAATGAAGGTCTCATTATAGCTCAGAAGGTCATAAGCTGTGAGTGTAGAGTTCTCCTAGGGATTTTCAGTAGTATCGGACTGAAGATATGATAATAAATGAGACTTTAGAGTCTTAAAAGGGGGAAATATGTGGAATATTCTGTTTACTCTGTTTAAAACATTTAAAATTTATCATTCACATTATATTCCTGATATTGCTTTATATTACCTTTGATATAGTCTAAATATTATCTTAGATGATCACCACTGAAACTAGACGCTGGAAATATTGATTGTGCCACACTCGTGCGAAACCTGACTAGTTTTTGCCGTGAAAGAATGTAACCCGGCTCCAAGTCTGGAACAAGAGTCACCTGCTGAGGAAGCCAACACGACATTGTCAACTTCTGTCATGAACCTGAAATCACGCTCCACATAGACACTATGGATGAAGCCTGGCCTGAGCTCCTCCAAGATGCATTGTGTGTTTTTGCATTGAATGAAAGGTATAAAGAGATCATGAGGTTTTCTATCTTCTCAGTTCTTCTGCAGAATTAGTCTTTTTGTTTAAAATAAAACTCTAGCATGTTGAAACAAATCACGTCTGCTTCTGTTGACTTCTACCACAGCTTTATAATTATTTTCAAAGCCTATGCGGTGAAAGTGACTGCTTTATTGCCAATACTCATTACACTGCAATCTGTTTTGAACGATCTACTTTATAAGCAATAAACGTTATCTACTAAATGTAGGCCTGTGAGCAGCTGCTGTCCACTGACCCAGTCTCATTTGTTTTGACTGATAGCTGACAGATTACTGAATCATTTAGACATTTATTTTGGCTTTACCGATTTCACGTTTTTCACGATTTTCACTCCATTTTTCATTTCAATTTGAAAAACGCAGCATCCTGTAGATTTTCCTCCTTTCCCACAGTATTTTGACAGACTGCAAAAGTGGTTAAAGCTTAATAGCACGTAGCATGCAGTGTAGAGGAACTCAATCAGTCCTGTTTATTTCTGCTGGTTCTAGATGATTCTCAGAGCAGCAACACTTACAAGATGTCTGGAAAAGGAAATGAGCATCGTTGATTTTATAATTTGCTTTTCTGAACATAATCATTTTTACCCAACAAGATTAGTACTGATACTGATTTAGGGGACACCAGCTTGGGTTTGATTGGACATCAGACAATAAGTGGTATCACACATCACTGTAGGGACAACAAACTAAAGCAAAGCCAAGCCCCTCCTCTCCAGCTTACCTTCAGTCCGACCGATGGTCATGAAGGTTTTGAAAAACCCCGCCTGTTTGCCCGTCATAGACATGACCTGGATCCGAGACTTGACACAATCCATGGGGTAGACCACCAGCCAGAGACAGGCCCCTCCGAAACCACCGCTGAACACGATCGGAGCCACACCTTCAGCACACACGGTATCCAGTTAGACGCAAACACAGTGACATTCAATGTCAAACATATATGAATGAAGAGGAAATAGATTTCTGAAGCATAATACATCTTCATTCATAGGAAAATGTAAAAAGGAAAACTCATTCATTCATTGTGATAAACGGCACCAATTAACTTCTCTAGCCTCCACTTTTCACTCAAATCACCTCCTCTGGTTTATTTTTTATAGTAATTTTATAATTTTTCCAGAATGCCTTTCAATAATGCCTCGTGACCATGCTTGAAGGATAAATTTATTTTTGTATGAATGTTCAATATCAGCGCAGCATAAAAAGCTTTTCACTTCGAGTCTGAAGCGATGACGTCAACGGTTGACATTTGAAGGTCGTGTTTTCAACAGGAGTGAAATATATTTCTGCTCCGAGTATTTTGACGGTACCTATGTCATCCTTGTCACATTTCATGTAGTCTGCGAAGGCTGTGCGGCAGAGCTCGTAGGCACCGAAGAAGCAGAAGTAACCGGGGACCTCTCTGGCTATGGTGGTGGTCAGACCCTGGAAGAAGCCCACCATTCCCTCGTTCCTCATGATGGATTTCACCACCGACCACACCGAGCTTCAGACAGAGCAGAGGCAAAACATAAATACAAATAAGTGTGTCAAAAGATAACTTATTTTACTTGACTGCATTCATGAAACACTGGCTGTATACATTTCTGAACTCTGCCTAAAACAAATCCATTGGGGGCCGTCACAGAGCAGGCTCAGAGTCGATATGAACCACAGCACACACGTCAATGCAAATTACACAAAAAGACTTCAATTTGTTTTCCCTTTGGTAAAACGCAGATTTCATATTTAATATTTGTTCTAAAATATTACATTAAAGTTTGAGTATTTTTATTTTAAATCATATATAATATACATTCAATTTGAATTAGCATAATTATGATTATATAAGATGTAATGTTTAACTGTTTCTACATGTACACAGCATGCAATATTATTTGAAAAGGAAGTATTCTGACCTTACCGTTATTTCTATGCACATTTTTCCAACTTGAATGCTTTTCATTTTCAGGTGTTATTCATTCATTAGTTCAGATAAAACTGGTCAAAAACACGTTTAAAGAGCTCTGAAAAGTCAAAACTTGTAAAATATTTTTTAAATCGATGCAACACTCTAGACTTAGATAAAGTTTATTGATCCATAAGGGAAATTGTTTGAAATATAAATAGCCAAAGTATTGAGGTGTGACCGCTGGCCCATTCCTCCTGATAGAACTGGTATAACTGAGTCAGGTTTGTAAGCCGCCTTGCTCCACACGCCTTTTCAGCTCTGCCCACAAATTTTCTCCAGGATTGAGATCAGGGCTTTGTGTATACAGTGTATGTAAACTTCTGGTTTTTACTATATTCCCTTGAGAAAGACAAAACTTACATTTCCTTGTTTTTTTCCCCCCATTCAGGTTTGAGGTGTAACACCATTTGTATTACCTGAGGGCATCGTATTTGTTCAACAACAAAGTGAAACCTGAGGAATTTGCCCGATATTTGCACAAGCAGTGCAAACAACTTAAACTACTAGATAATAGGAAACACACAAGCATAAAAATGAAGGAATGTCAGAGTAAGTAATCCTTACAGTACAGTCACACAGACATATGCGTGACTATTTAAAAGCTACTTACTTCTGGCTCTTTGCGATCTTGCCTGATGCCTCCATTTCATACATGGCCTGCAGTCGACACTTGACAAGCTCGGTGGGGCAGAGCACCAGCGAGGAGAAGATGGACGCTACTGAGCCGGCACAGGCTTTCTGCATGTCGCTAACAGAGAGGGAAGGTTAATCAGAGAGACAGTTAGAGACACACACGTACTCTCAGGGTTGGTTTTGTGTTAACAGGGAGGACAGGCTGGTGAACATCCCCCTACCTCAGCACAGCGTCACTGTGCAGTCCGGCCGTGAAGCGGATGACCTGCTGGCAGAAGCCGTAGCTCATGAAGAGCACCGAGTTCTCAGCGATATTGGCCATCAGCGCCGGGGTGGTGCCCTGGTAGAGACCACGCAGACCCACTTGTTTGTAGGTGGACACGATGCAGTGGATGAATCCCCGGTAAAGCGTAGGAAAGGTCTGCATCTTGACCTTTGCTGTGTCCAGTGGCTGCCCACTGAAGACACATGCAGCTCCCCCTGGGAGGATGAGAAAAGCGTCAGCAACAGAAGTGACACGAACTAGAGTGTTATTAAAACTACAGGAGGAAAAAAAAAAAATCACAGTTTGCACAAAGCAAAGAGAGATAAGAATCGTGGACGGCTGCACTCCACTGAGCGCTATCAATGGAAACACAGAGAGAGAAACGAGCTGGAAAAAGACAGGAGTCATCAAAATGTCTCCACGTCACACATAGCAGGAGAAGAGCTGCACGATTCCTTCATAGGAGTTAAATATAACATATGATGCACACTCTCATGTTGTTCTTTTATATTTTACTATGTTGTTCTGCTTGGTGTTTTTATCCTTGAGATTATGTTATTTTCTTCTTTTATACATTTGGTGTTTTCATCCCCTGTATTTTAACACATGTTGTAGCACATTGAAACTGTAGCTTCAGAAAGGTGGTAAATTTAAAAAAGCTATTATTATGTTATTCTGAATCACCTATGGCTCCTGAAGAGAGGTCAATGACCGCCTGGACCACTGGGTGTGGAGCCATGGTTGTCAGGGGAGGGTTCTTCTTCTCTCAGCGACCTGGTAAAAAAACAAAGAAATGTACTGTAAGAGCATGATAATTAGAATAAACACAATATAATCACTCATTTGTGAACTTTTCATAACCCCTGACACAGTAAACGTGCTGGTGTTTCAACACAGGGAGCAGATCTGAAGACAGAAAGCAGCAGGTGGGCTGTAAAGTTCACGACAATAAAAGCCGACCTCGAGCGTGGCAACAGTAATTATTTACAGTGAGCCACGTAAGGGTTTGTATGGGGACGCAATAACTGTTGTGTTTGTTAAGTTGCAAATAGGTAAGTATTGAACATCACAACCATCAGATGATAGGTTTATAGAAGATAATACACTGATGAAAAGTGTGCGTTAACAGAAACCCAGACGACTGTGGAGTGTTTCTGAGATAAGAAGAAAAAAAGACAATTTAACTTTAACACTTTCACATAAAACAATGTCAGCTTCACTCCATCTTTTTCCTGTTGTAACTAATGATTACTTTCACTGTTGATTATTTAATTGAGTATTTTTGTTTGGGCTATTAAATGTCAGAAAATAGTGAAAATTCATAATCAGTGTTTCGCAGAGCCCAAGATGTCAAATTGTTTTGTCCACAACCCAAATATACTCAGGTACTGTACTGGTGCAAGGACGCAGCGGCCCCTTCAGGAGACTTCTGGTAGTTTAATCGGAGCAACTGGACTTGCTTGAGTTCCTTGAAGATGTTTCACCTCTCATCTGACTGACTAGTTGGGAGTTCCAGATACTTCTATCCTAAAGGAGCCATTCACACCTAAGCTTTGGTTTCAGCTGGGGGGTTGTTACTTCTCCCCCTCATTGTGTGAGTCGGTAGACCTCCCCCTGCCACAATGGGGTTCGTTGGGGTCTTTTGTGGCTGGATGTGGATGTAGTTGCTTCCTGGGGAGAGATCTCAGGACTGAATTGTAAACAGGTGAGAGACAATGCCTCAGACTCTCCCACCTTCTGGAGACAGCGACGACAAGCGTTTAGTGTCTTATCCCAGACAAATTCACATTTTAGAGGCTGGAATCGGAAAATTTCTAACTTTTTTTTTCGTAAAAAAAACAAAAATAATCCAAAATAATTAATTGAATGGTTAAGTGGCAGTTGATCATCCTTTAAGCTCGTCATTCAAACAGCTCATTACTCATCACAGACTATCTCAGTGTTACCTCTTCTTCCACTCAGCTGAACCAGCAGTACCAGTATTTCTCCTGTTAGTAATACTGTAATGACACTGCTGACATCATGTGGCTACACTGTAAAAGAAAACCTGTGAAAATTTGGCACCAAAATGTATTTTTAAAAAAAAGTAATAAAACAGCAAATAATCGAGGAGTTCATTTGCAAAAACAGATAACTCCATCTTCACAAACCTTCAGACAATATCAATCAAACTTAATGTCATTTCTACTGAGTCAAATCCACTAAACTTCAGTTTGATTGATATTATCTCAAGCAAACAACAAAAAAAGAAGTTTTCTGAAAATCTACAAAAATAGAGTTACCCGTTTTTTCAATTGTATATAATGCTATGTTTTTTTTTAGGAGTTTCAAATAAAGTTGTAAATGACGTAAAAGTGTAAAAATCCTGATTTTTAATGGGGACAATATGTACGGTTTTGGCCTCTTTGTTTTAGAGTCATTGTGTCAATTATACTTTTTTCCTTTGATTTTACTTGATATCATCTGTAACAATTAAAACAAAGAAACAAAAAAAAAACAGGAAAATCTGTACAATATCAGCTACAAAAATGACTTACTAGTTCTTTAAAATTTAGTATACACATTTTTTCTTCACATGATATCTGTGAAATAATGCTACTTTGGCCTTTTTTTATTATTATTTTGTATTTTTTTTTATTCCATCATTTCTGTAGTTACTATCTGCAATTTAGGAAAAAGTGGAAAATCTGTAAGATATCTGTATTTTAAAAAATAAAAAATAAAAAATTTACGCTTAAATTCTGTCGATAAGTGTTTATTTTTTACAGTGCACCCTCTTCCGGTCAGGACAGGACGGTCTCTTTATAAAGGACACCAGCAGGGGGGGACAACATGCTGTTCTTCCAGCAAGCATTTAACATTATATATTTTTAAACATATCAACTAAAGGACACTTGTGAGCATTTTCTTTCGTTAAGGCACCAAAACTAAGAGCAAAGCGTCAAACTACGTTTCTGTTTCGCGGATAACTTCCGACGTGTAGCAGCAGCAACCAACAAGTTAGCAAAGAGCTAAAGTTGCTGCTCGCTTCAACGCTGCTGCAAATGCTAAGTTAATAAGCTAACAGATGAGTTCAGTGAAAATTTAGAGATACAAACCTTACAGGACAGCGACAGGTTGAACTCGGAGCATCGAGGTGTCTCTACCGGTGAGGTTACCGTCGGTCTGACCGTTAAACATGTGTGACCGGTAACGTTATCGCAGCGAGCTGCTGAGACAAGCTAACGTGCTCCGGCTGCATGCTAACTCTCAGCGCCGGTAGTAAACATCCAGTTTATCTCGCTGCTATCTCATTTCTAAACCATCAGCTGCAGCCACAGTCAATGAATGGATCCGACATCAGTTATATGTGAGCGGAGGAGGAGGAGGAGGAGGATCCACAGACAGGCTGGAGGACGAGCCGAGAGGAGCCACTCTGATATAAATACCAGGTACCAAACAAACTTTCACTTTTTTGTTTAGTTGTGGATTGTGGTGTGAAGGACAGGATCTGGTTTGATGCTACTTTCTTTCTTTCAAAATGTCTCTTCTTATCTCCTCCTCGCATTTTCTTCCTCACTTTCCATTGAATGTCATCTATATACTATTAAACCTGCTATTGCTGATTGAAACTACAATCCGTCTCCTTGTATTTCCTCCTAATTCCTACTTTGTGTCTCCCTCTGTGCCCTACTTTGTAATTTAATGTCATATTTACTTATCATGTGTCATTACTACTTTCTTTCTTTTCTAGTCTAGCCTTATTTTAGCTTACTAAGTTTTTATTTTTGTGATGTATCACACTATATCTCAGCACTTTTCTATCACACACTGCATTTATTCTCATGTTATGTCTTGTTTTTTCTGGGCCATTTCTAACACATGAATTTTCTTCGGGGCTATTTAAGTTTTATTTTCTCTTAAGCTACATTACAAACTTGTACATTTCTCCAAAGTAAGCTTGTCCTATTTAAACCAGTATGATCGAGCTTTAATCTACACTGTGTGCACAATTATTAGGCAAGTGATTATTTTGACCACATCATCATTTTATCCATAATTTCCAACTCCAAGCTGTATAAACTTGAATGCTTATTGGATTTTGTGCATATCAGGTGATGTGTATTTGTGTAACGAGGGAAGGTGTGGCCTAAGGAGATCAACACCCTATATCAAGGTGTGCATAATTATTAGGCAGATTCTTCTCCTCAGGAAAAATGGGCCAACAAAGAGATTTAACTGACTCTGAAAAGTCAAGAATTGTAAAAAGTCTTTCAGAGGGATGCAGCACTCTTGAAATATCAAAGATATTGGGGCGTGATCACAGAACCATCAAACGTTTTGTTGCAAATAGTCAACAGGGTCGCAAGAAACTTGTGGAGAAGAAAAGACACAAATTAACCGCCAATGATTTGAGAAGAATCAAGCATGAAGCAACCAGGAACCCATTATCCTCCAGTGCTGCCATATTCCACAACTGCAACCTACCTGGAATGTCAAGGAGTATGAGGTGTTCAGTTCTCAGAGACATGGCCAAGGTAAGAAAGGCTGAAACCCGACCACCTCTGAACAAGACACATAAGTTGAAACGCCAAGAATGGGCCAAGAAATATCTGAAGACAGATTTTTCAAAGGTTTTGTGGACTGATGAGATGAGAGTGACTCTTGACGGACCAGATGGATGGGCCCGTGGTTGGATCAGTAACGGACACAGAGCTCCACTTCGACTCAGACGGCAGCAAGGTGGAGGTGAGTACTGGTATGGGCAGGTATTATTAAAGATGAGCTAGTTGGACCTTTTCGGGTTGAAAATGGACTCAAAATCAACTCTCAGACCTACTGCCAATTTTTAGAAGACACTTTCTTCAAGCAGTGGTACAAGAAAAAGTCTGCATCTTTCAAGAAGACTTTCATTTTTATGCAAGACAACGCTCCATCACATGTATCAAAGTACTCCACTGCGTGGCTGGCCAGTAAAGTCCTTAAAGATGAAAAACTAATGACATGGCCCCCTTCTTCACCTGACTTAAACCCTACTGAGAACTTTTGGGCCCTTCTTAAGCAGGAAATTGACAGTGAAGGTAAACAGTACACCTCTCTGAACAGTGTCTGGGAGGCTGTGGTTGCGGCTACACAAAAGTTGATTCTGACCAGATCAAGAAACTGACTGACTCCGTGAATGGAAGGCTTGTGACTGTTATCGAAAAGAAGGGCGGCTATATTGGTCACTGAGGGGTTTTTTTGTTTTTTTTTTAAATTTCAGAAATGTTTATTTGTAAATTTTGAATGTGTTTATTATACTCACTTTAACAGGTGAAAATAAACAAGTGAGATGGGAAAATCTTTGTTTTTCATTTAGTTGCATAATAATTCTGCACACTAATAGTTACCTAATAATGGTGTACATATAGATATTCTCTTAAGAAGGCCAAAACTTCACTTTTACTACTTCAATGTTCAAGTTTGAGGGTTTGTTAACATTTTGGATTGACCAAGAGCGCTGTAGTTGTACAATAACAAAATTAATCCTCAAAAATGTAACTTGCCTAATAATTGTGCACACAGTGTAGATAGAACGAGCTCCTCTGGTCTACGTCTACCTTTAGCACTCCGTACTTCAACGCCACTCTTTAATACGTTCTGCCCTTATTGTCCTCATACCACTTTTTCTACCAAAGTTCCAACATTTTCTTTTTTGTTTGAGCTTCGCCTTCTCCTTTACTACTACTACTACTAATAATAAAAAACTTTATTTATATAGCACTTTTCAAAACAGGGTTACAAAGTGCTGTACAGATTCAAAGAGAACTGTAGGAACAACATGAAACAACATTAAAAGAAGTAAAAAGCAAAAAATACATGCATAAATAAATAAAAAATGGTGAAGGTGAAACACACAGAGCATGAACGACAATATAAAAATATATAAAAAAAATAAAACCCAGTAAAAGAAGACAATTAAAAGACAATAAAGGAAGGAAGATAAAATGTACTGCCCTTAATACTGCCATCAAACGAAGTAAAAGTCCACTCATAAAACAACTCATGTAAAAGCACATCTGTATAAATGTGTTTTTAAAAGAGTTTTAAAGGAGGATAAAGTGTTTGCAGATCTGATCTCCTCAGGGAGACGGTTCCAGAAGGTGGGGGCTCTTCCAGAAAAGGCCCGCTCACCTTTGGTCCTACTAAATAGTTAACCTATTATCTTTTTCTTTTGTCATCTTTGGTAATCTTTTATCTGCATTGTCCTGACACTCGTTACCCTTTAATCCCGTCATGTGTGGAAACAGCTATTCCCAACTTTCATCTATTTTTCGTAGACTTTAAAAGACTTGCTGCAGAATCAGAGCACAGCTCCACCCTGTCGCATCTTATTTCTTCTATACATTGAAGACTAATAATCACTGCCATTATTTCAACTGTATAGAACGATAACTGTGATTCTTTTCGCTGAATCGATTTTTCAAAGCCTCCTGTTTCTACGTAAACATTTGGATCTATTCAATCATCAGTGAATATCTATAAATCATTATAAAAAAATATTCCTTCGCTTATCTAAATTATTTTTCTCCAATACAAAAATCATCAGTGACCTAGCCGTGGTTTAACATTCACGTTATGAATCTCAAAAGCCAAAACGCGCCACAAATCATCGCCTCTGATATGTGTTTGTAAAAGAAAAAAAAAAAGTAGCACCTAATCCACCAGCTTATGTGTAGTGAAGAAAAAACTGTCTTCTCGATATAAAAAAGCAGCACGCTTTTGACTTTCGATGCCGTAAAAAGCAGTCTTCGTTCAGGCTTTTGACAGCATATAAATTTGAATCACAAATGAATTATGGCACATTTGGTCTTCCATATTCTATATTGTACACCATGTACTGAATGTTAACACCTGATAATAAGATATAAAGAACACAACGAGGGTCTTGATCAGATGATAAGATTAATATAAATGTAGACATGGATTCTGAAAGCATTGCAGTAATTGTATTTTCCCCCCTTTTACCTGGACTGGGTAACACTGCAGTGCCTGTTATCCAAGTCAGATACAACGTTGATCTAGATCAGGACTCGCATACACACAGAGTGATCTTCTGACTTTGAGATCTTTGATTTGGGACTCATGAAACCTGAGATTCCGGTTCCTGTTCTTGCTCTGGTGTTTTAAAATAAACTCTCATCAGAGTGTAAAATGATGTAGCTCCCCCTCGTGGTTGTTTTCTGTTTTGCAAAAAATCTTGTCACCTTTTTTTTTTCTTTTGCCTCCAAGTCAAGGACATTGTGCTGTGAGTCATATATGTTGATTTGTTGCTTTTTTAAATATTTTTAACTGACACAAGCAGCCTGATTGTGTACTACTATTACTGCAGCAGAAATAAATATATCTAAAAAATTAATCTCTAATTAAAGTAGCACATTTTGACCGCTGTGTTTGTCCTTGTTGAGCATAAGTCTGATCTGGGATTGATTTTGGTTCAACCACTCTTTTAGCAACATCTAAAATTTTACACCTGATTCCAAATACTCACACGTTCCTATAGTTTTAAAGGAATGTATCCTATTTATATATTTCTTTAGTGCCACTTTACAACACAAGTCATGTCAGTTCACTTCACATTGTGAGGTCAAGACATCGTAACGCTCTCTCAGGTCAGTCCGCCTCCAATAAAGATCTCTGACTAAAGGTCACTGTGCGCTTTTTGTTTTACAACCAAGCTAAAAATAAACAATAAACCACAAGCTCCTGTCTGATATTTACAGAAAATGTGGCAGTGGCACATATGAAATATTTAGTATCATGCACATCAGACACAATCTAAACAAGTCATTTGTATAAACAGAAGAAGCTCTCAGAGCGTGCTGTTCTCGATCAGCGCTGCCCTGGGACTTCTGTGCTCTCAACTCCATAAGTGGCTTTGTGTGCATAATTAACTTACCCGTTGTATCATTACGGGTGTCTGAAAGTACTTTCCCTTCCCTTCCCTGAGCAAAACAGCACAAAATCTTCTTTAAACACGAGCCTGCATGCGCTTAGTCAGTCAGAGTCTAGTGATTAAAACCGCTCTGCAGCAGAAATGGCTCCTTTAAACAGATGTTACTCAGCTGTGTTGATAAAGATGTTCCGAGCGTAGGTGCGATATATAA